TTTCGTAATTACTGATAAAAATTCCAAAAAATTCAACATTTAAAAAAAACTCGGCAAAAAATATGTTTTCTGGGACCATGCGTCCTGATGGCAGGACGCATTTTTTGACAAAAAAAATGCGCGTGGTCCCACGCGGCAGACAAGCAAAAATAGGCTGGTCGTCAACTTGTTAAACAGACCTTGGGATCTACTCAACTGTAAAAGGAAATACATCTACATAGGCATACTGCCTACTACTACTACTTCAGTTACATATCCAGACATACTGCCTGTATCTTTGGTCCCTTTGATCAGCAATTACTACCAAAAACTGTTTCTTTATCCTTAATGCAATAAAGAAACTCTTAGATTTAAATAATTTTGCAAATGTTAAGGAACCTGAAAAAGGTTCCTTATATCTTGACCTCAGTAACCAAACAGCTGATGCTGCACGTACTTGAGAGATCAGAAATCCCCAAGAGTTGGAAAGGCAAAGATAACATGGCCTAAAGCCACCTTCCTTTGAATTTTCACAGCAAAAAGAAATGTTGTTCTAGAAATCTTTGAACATTCACATGAATTACTACTGTAAAAGTGTCAGTTAAACAAAAAGGGAAAATTTGAAAGAGCTACTTCTCATCCTTTCCTTGCATTAGATGATTTGGGTAAAATATCACCTCACAAAAAAGTCAGCAAAAAGAGATTGACTCAAATTTTCAGAAAGGGAGATGGTAAACTCCATATTTCTGATGCTATAAAAAAAACCTGACACTCAAAAAATTTTTTCCCATTGATCTGGAGATATTCTAGTTTAGACTTTCTCAAGAGTATTTCCAAAGTGAATTAAGCTGATTTAACAAAGATGGTCTTTCTTTTTATTTCTCTACACTCAAGATGTAGCACTAACTAAACACCCTCTAAAGATGCAGACTAACTGGTTGCATAAAGAATTAGCTACAATTCATTTGTGCATCTGAAACATTCTTTTTCATATCCATCTTCAGAGATATATTATACGTGAGATATTCAGCAGCTGGCAAAACTTAAGCATGGTCAGCCCAAATGATGGGAACATAACCTAGGTTCATGTACATTTGGCATATGATATTTGTGAAAGTCCTACCTGCGCTTGGCTCTCTCACCATATTCAGGAGATGAAAGAGACCGACTTCTCCTTCTCCTTCTTTTCCCCTTAGAATCCCCTTTCTTCCTTCGAGACGATGAACTCCGAGAGGGAGGTGAACTCGACTCCGACCTGATGATACATCAATCCATCCACATACCATATGCTTCATTCAGGTCTACTTAACTTTTCCCCATGTCTCCAACCACACCGCATATAATGCCTGATAACTTGCGTGTGGGATGGAATAGGCCTAGGCTTCCCAAGTGAGACTTCTAAGTAAATGGAATGTTGTCTTCTGGAAATGATTCCATACATGTTTTCAACTCAAATCTATGGCACCACACCTTAACTTTGAGGCAAACAACAGCTTTTCTACAACAAAAAAAGCCAGCTGCTACTCTATTGCAGTTTATAAATCGAAGCAGTGCTAAGGCCTAACCTATTTGGTAATATAGTCATGGATGACAGCTAGTTTAACCCTTTAACTCCCATGTACAAGTAAACTCATTTTTTAGTTTTCTTTGTTGATCCCATAAATTATTCATTTCTGAGTCCAGTAATACAGGACCTCCTGGTAAGTTCCTAATGTCTTGGAAAAATAATGCATGCAATAGAGTGCTTGGCACAAACAAAAAGATTGCATGTTTCACAAAAAAGACATGGTGCACAGTGGCTAAAAAATTGGGAGTCAAAGGGTTAAATTCTGAGTAACTTTCAGTGAGTTCACACACTCCTAAAATGGCATTGGCATTACTGGGGCTTTGACTTTAGGGGCATTCACCTAATACCAGTTTGCCATATATATGATCAAGGAAAAATTATTTCCACTAGTGCTGATAGGCTCATAGAAAAATATGGTTTACATTAAGAGGGTTTGAGAATCCATTGCCAAAGACACTATAATATCAGGGCATTCATTAGTACTTTGACATTCACAAATTGCAAATTTTCACATAATTTCCTCAATTCTTTTGAATGAAAGATCTCTCCTTCAGCCTTGGCATTGGCCCTCAGACACAATGAGCAGGTTGTCAATGGCCTAGCATGGGCAATTCACATTTACAAATTAGGGTATGATATGTCTACTTGGTGAGTAAAAGAAATTGAATGCAGATGCCATCCATGTACTTCTCCTGTTTTAATAGATTAAGTTCATGCCTTTGCAACCTACTATTGAAACCACTGAATATGTTTTGTCCATTTCTTTTGGATACAACAGGTTTTTTCCACTAAAACAGCCTGAACAGATTTATTTGGTAAAAATATCAAACTCTCTATGACATGAACACCAAGGAAATGAGTTACTACAACCTTCAAGACTCAAGACCTTCCAGAGCATGACAAAGGCCATGAGCAAAGGGATACCTTCCAGATGTGCTAGAACTAGAGGATTGCCTTCGCCTTTTCTTCTTGTCTTTCTTTCTTCGACGAGATCGCTCATTCTCGCTGCTGCTGCTTCCTCTTTGGCTCCGTCCTTGACTCCCCATTCCTTCAACCTGGTTTCTCTCTCAGCAATGTAAGCTAGGACCTACTGTGGCAGATTCCTGAATGAAACCATCAAGATCAGATAGGATACAGGCCTATGTTATGATCAAGGCATTTCTTCATTCTTTGTAATCATCTAGGACAAATGATAGGAACCTGTGTCCCTGAATGGCAACGTGAGAGGATTTTGAAAACTTATCCAATGTTTACACTGTTTCAACTCCTTAACTGTTATTTTCTTAATTTCAAATGTAAAGAGGTCATCATACAGTTTTCGCCAGGAACAACTTCTTCAGATTTTTGAAAGAAAGTAGCCATCTAACTCTTCTTACATAAAGAAAAAAAATAAAACACCCTAAATACAGAGCATGGTCTGTTGTGCAAGGCAAGGAGTCAAAGAGAGATGTGTATTGGCCTCTTTCAGGTCATTGGGGGGGCTAAAGGTTTATGACATGCTTCAGTGTTGTCAGATATAGGACAGCACCTTTCAGTTAGCTGAGAGAGATCCAATGTGATCCTGCTTCAACTGACTGGATGAAAGAAAGTTGGCCACCCTGATTTTCAAGGAAAATCCCTCCATTCACCATGTCAGGTTAAGAGCATAAGTGATATTCAATGACTGAGGCTCCCCTTCGGCCTGTCACATCGAAACTGCAAGTGTCCTTTTGAGGCCAAATAGGCTTTACAAGCTATCCATCCTGGGGCTCATGAATACATTTTTTTGCCATACCAAGAAAACTCCTTCCTTTCTTAGCAGGCCTGAAAATTGCAATTGGCTGAACAGCAGGCTTAGAGTGAATTTGGAAAAATTGTACTTTTTGTATTATTTTAACAGATTTTGCAATAGAGCAATTTGTAGCATAACAGAAACTGATTAGGAAACAGGCCATTTTTTAATGTGCACAGCACATGCACAGTCTGTTCTCACACCAACTTTGTTGAATGCACAGTTCATTATGAGTTCCACCATTATGTCTCCTAGCTACTCAAAAAGACAGGTGCAAACCAAAATAGTGATTATGGTCTCCATCTGCTGCTTCCTTCAGCATCAGGCAACCAATTCAATTTAGAAAAGCTCTGCCAAAAGAGTACAAGAGAATAGAGGTAATAGACAATGTGAATGGGCTTCAGTTGAGTTTTTCCCATTCTGTCAAATATATTTCATCATGACCTCCAATTGTTACCCTATTGACTCTTATGTCATCTTTCTTCTTGAAGAATCTCTACAGACTTTGCATATCCCCTTCATTTCCTTCATCATTGATCTCACTTTACATTAACTTACTCTCCTCCGAGGTCACCTTCAATTTTCATGGCTGTTTTTCGGTTCTAACAGACCCAGATTCCTTTATATTCCTAAATTCTACATTACAGGCCTAGCCCAGTCTTTAATCTTTCCCGGCCTGATGCTGAACTTATGAAAAGTTTCTGTTCCCAGTTACCCTTTTGCCAAATGTCAAGACTAAACTTTCATCCTAGTTCTGGGCACACGCCGGCGTTAACCCAGCAGAACAGTAGGGCACACTTTCGGATGGAATTCGTACCCATCCCCCCCTCCATGTATGAGTGCTTCCATCGACTACACGTAAAATCTTGCAAGTTGATTGTTTCGTGGGTCCTCCGGAAGGAATGTATTCCCGTTTCCACAACACAGGAAGATACGAATTCACTCTGGAATCAGAGCACGCTTCCAGGGATGTGAGTAAAATGCAAAGTTGGGACTGTGGAATGCGGACTCTCCAAATCGAATGCGGATATTGCGGTATAAATGTGCGGTGGCGAATCGCAGAAAGAATACGTAAAATGCGGATTATTGTGTATTTTTCAATTCTGCTCTGGGATTATATCCTCGCCGACTCCTTTCATATGATCCGAGTCCCTCCTCCACGACCGAGCGTCAACATCTTGCCCCGACCATTCACAATCCTTGGATAGTTTAACGATAAAGATAGATCCTTGTCTGTCTTCCCAACGCCATCGATGTTTGGTACCGACCGTCTGCACTACCGTTTGTCATCCTTCGTCGATTGTAGATTCCTTTGGGCGACATTCGAAGGGACGTGAAGAAGGTGGAATTTCTTGGAAATTTCCATATTTCATTTCCATCTAAAAAGTGAGAGAAAAGAAAGAGGTGTGTGTCACGGTCGCTCTGGAAGACTTCCGCTATGGGCGACGGAAATGACTTTCGTTACGGACGTCTTCCAACCGATTTCCTTGCCGTTTTCCCTCTTCCACCCTCGTAATCCGTCCAGGCTATCTGAATGCATAAAAGCCACTTATTCCCGGGACTCGGATCGGTGCGAAATGCTCGTCGTAGCAGAAGAACGGGCGAACGAGATGAGATTTCCAAGGCGGTCTTGCTCCCCCCTCTCCTTTTTCCCTCCGTCACCTCCCTCTTCTCGTTTGAATTTATTCCTCGATCGAGAATTCCCTCATTTCACGTTGGAAAGTCGCTTTCATGGACTGATCTCGGCCGGAGACCACGAAGGCGATAGGCATTCTCAGCGTCGTGATCTCTTCCGAACTGAACAGCACTGCAAGGATGACAGACTCCGCGATGACGTTACTGTCGACCAGGAGAGGCTCCGACCCGCGTTGACGTCCACGCCTGATTCCATTCTTCGATTTCAGCGAAAGCATTCAACATCTGGAAGAGATGTTTCATCGCTCTTCCGCATCTGGAAGGTACGCATTAGCGATCTCGAGTTTTCCATTATTCTGCATTTTACGCCTCATTTCCACAATTTGTTCTTCGTTCCACTCTGCGTCTTACCGTTCGACATCTTCCACTTTTCCTTAAAGAAAATTTTCCGCGAAGAACACCATCTACCCGAGAAACGTAAAAATGTGGAACGAACGCCCATCCCGTGATCATCTATAGACTTATTTATAGACTTCTTCCCCGCTTCTCGTATCCCCGCATTTAACACCACCTCCTAATCGTCATAGCGGAATTGGATCGCCTAGGCTGCTCTCTAAACAGATGAAATGTAGCAGAATAGTGCGTTTCACAAAGAAGAAAGAGTTCCGCGTCGTCCACACTGAAACGCCTGAAAAAAAGAGTCCCTTTTCCGCGGTTATAGCACCCCCTCTCCGAACGATAGTATCATGATTATTTCATACCGCTGTGAAGAGATACTGAAATTTACTTCCTTAAAGTCTCTGTGCCGTTTGGGTGTGAGCAAGGCCGGCGCGAATACCCCCCTGCGGCCGCAGGGGGGCCCAGCCCCAAGAAGAAATAAATAAGACAGGAAGAACTAACCTGACTAAGAAAAAGAGAAAAAACTGTAACGCTGCGACTTATCCAGAAAGAGATCCAAGCTCTGAATGAGACGGAGAATATTCCTAGGACTTCCCACTCGGGACACGCGAGAAGGCGGAGCTGAGCGAAATCCGAATCCCAATACATGAAATAATTTTTTCATTTTAATTTTAATTCCTCCATCCTTCCCGCAAGAAATCCTCGCGCTTGAAGGCACTCGAGGAGATGAGGAAGACGTCCGCGTAGAAGGGTCCTCCTCGTTTTCATCCCGTTCCCTCGCTTGTCCCCCTTGATCATGTTGTGAATTGTCTTGTTTATTCCCTACCGGGTCATTGATAGAGTTGCCACATTTGAATTTTCAACAAAACGTGGAAGTATGGAAATATGCGTATTTGTTTGAAGTATACTTTTGTATGCGGCCATGCCCAAATACCCAGGGCCACCTTGAGCCAAGGCGCCAATCGATACTATGAGAGCGTGGCCTACTGCTTTTGACTTACTTTTCCGTAAGTCAAAAGCAGTAGGCCACGCTCTCATTTTAACTGCAATTAAGCTTTATTAATTAAAAAAAATTCCAAGTTTATAATACGGACAAAACAATGTCCATATTAAGACCAGTTTGCAGTATCTACGGAGTGTCTGAAATATGTACTATCAATACTAATTATGAATGGGTAGCAACCCCACCCATCGATGGTACCCGTGCAAAGTTTGCTAAGTGCACCAGATCCACCTGATGCTCTTGGAACTACGCGATTCATTCACAAGAGTGGTGTCAAGCCCGTGCATCCTAACGTGTCCATCGTTCTTTGAGTGCTACTCACAGCTCCAGCGAGAGTTGCATCTGCAGAAAGAAGCGTCTCCAAACTGAAACAGTTTATAACCTATCTAACTTGAAGCATGCCACAAGAAAGCCTGACAAGACTAGCCATACTCTCTATCGAGAGGGAGGACAGCAGGTCATTGAACTACAAGAAAGTGATCGATGAGCTGGTGGCAAAGGTTCCGGGAATACGAACGCTAAATCTCTGGACAAAATGAAAATGAAAATGAAAGAAAAAAGAAAATGCAGTGATTTTAATTTTTTTCCTCCACATATTTTTTCGATAATCGAAAATGAAGTGAAGGACAAATCTCTGGAACCCAGAGGTGGCCCAATGTATTTGCCGCAGGGGGCTCCGCATTTTCCCGCGCCGGGCCTGGGTGTGAGGCATCGTTGAAACTTCGGTGAATGGTGAAATTTAGCCTTCGGTGAAATTTAGCCGTTTCACAAATAACTTTGCCGGAGTTGGGCAAAAGCTCTACACATGCCTTTCATTCCGCACCAAAAGTCTTTTGCTTCCCTCTTTATTCTTTTATTCTTGATGTGTTTTTGACCGTGAAGTAGTTGCCATGCTGCAGACGTTGCAGGGATTCTCGCCGAGATAAAGGGAATTCATTCTTTTTCTTCGCACCCTCTTATCGCAACCAGATTTTCCTGTCAGCTCAAGCATCACGACTCAAAATATTGCAACAATAATAAATAATCATTTTGGTGCGGGACGGGAGGCTTACGTAATGCTTTCCCGGCGCGATACGAGAAAAGGCTCAAGTTCCTGTTTACATTTCCATGCAATTTTAACGACTTCAAACTTTCGTTGAAGTTTTTGAGCATTTTCTCGAAGACTAAAAAAAAAATTACGAAGCTAGCGTTTCTACGGGAGGCATTGTGAAGCGTAAAACAGGATGCATTTCTTCCATGCAATTCTTAGCAGGACCATCCAGCTGGTCCTGCTAAATCTAAATGTTTGCATCCTCGACGAGTCCTACCTTCCGTCTTCACTTTTGAGAGGTGTTCCTTTTTTGACTCGGAATGAGCAGGTCGCCCCTGTACCTTCACAGTTAATGCCGAGTCATCTCCGACAAGACACCCTGTAAGATTTATCCGTATTTGAAGGAGCGTCATGAAGGACGCGAGGTGGGGGGGGGGGGGGGGGGGGGGGAAAAAAAAAAAAAAAGACAGAGGAGGG